AAGAATTGATGCCTTTGAGCTGTGGTGTTGGAGAAGAGCACTGAACATCCTATGGACTGTCAAAAGAACAAACAAATAGGTCTTGGAGAGGGTGCAGCCAGAGTGCTCTTTGGAGGCAAGGATAATGAGGCTTCACCTCACTTAGGGCATGTTCCTAGGAGGGGCTAACCCTTGGCGAGGGACATGATGCTCAAAAGGGTAGAAGGCCAGCAAAGGAGAGGAAGACCCTTGACCAGTTGGACTGACAAAGTGAGTGCCGCAATGGGCTCTAGTGTGTCAGGGAGTGTGAAGATGGCACAGGATAGGACAGGGTTCAGATCTGTTGTTCATAGGGTCACTATGAGACATACTTGATGGCACCCAACAACAACATTAGTAAAAAAATTATATAAAGTAATTAAGGTGTACCAAAGATCTATTTGTGGAAAATTATAGTATTGATTGAAACAATGACATTTGAATTGAACAATTGAATTTTAGGTATAAATAACCCTGATACTCAACCGAAATCGTAGTGTGAAATTGGAACGGTCAGTAGTTGTCATGATTCTCATATAAGACTCAGGTGAGTTGGTGTGTCAGAAACAATGAGGTTGGCACAGGATAGAGCAGGGTTTAGGGCTCTTGTACATAAGATCAGTATGAATCGCAAGCAGCTTGACAGCAACAACAACGTAATATAAATATTTGTGGTTGAATGGAAAACTAATATGCTTTGTAATTTTCACTAAAATCACTATTTTAAAAAGTTGTAAAACTTTTCTGACAAACAAAACTTACGGTTCAAAGAATCATTTCTGGAAGGAAATTGAATCCTGAAGAAAGAAGGGAAGGAGAAGTTTTTTATATCATGTGAGTTAAACAATTAATTACTTGAGATAGTTCCTGACACTCTGGTGATGCCCCATGAGCCACCATTAATACTAATATTCTACATAAATTTTGCTGTGTATCATGGAGAGGATGCTTTATTGAAACCCTATTTGTGTCCATGAACAAGTGTGAACAAACTGACTTTTACTTAAAGAGAGCTCACTGGCATTGAGGGGTTCCAGCTCATAGCTGATGTCTCAGCAGGTTCCAGAGTTGTAAACTGCAAAGCGAGGAAATTGTCAGTCTTTCTCCCAAGGAGTCACCAGTGCATTGGATCATCAGAGCCTTTGAGTGAAGTGCAACTTGCTACATACTCCAGACTCTGCCTTATTTACCCAATTCTGCTGCTAGATATACATCAAAAGATCTCAAATATAATACTGAGTATAATAATACAAGTCATGTATGCTCTCAGTGAGTAACATAACACTTTAAGTCGACTTTGGCGGAGGTGCAACCAGGGTGCCCTTGAGAAGCAAGGATGGTGAAATATGGTCTCCCAAACTTTGGGCATATTTCCAGGAGGAATCAATCCTTGGATAGAGACATCATGCTGGGAAAGGGGGCAAGTCAGAGGAAGAGAGAAAGACCCTCAGAAGGTGGGCTGAGACACTTCACCAAAGAAGACATTCAGGTGGCCAAAAACACATGAAGAAAGACTCAAAATCCCTAGCTCTAAGAGAGATGCAAATCAAAACAACTATGAGATATCATCTCACCCCAGTCAGAATAGCAAAATACAAGAGGAGCAAACATCAAAAGCTGGCAAGGTTGTGGAGAAACAGGAACCCTTATTCACTGTTGATGGGAATATAAAATGGTGCAACCACTATGGAAGGCTGTATGGCGCTTTCTCAAAAAGTTGCAAATAGAAAT